ATCAGAAAGGATATATGCACCCCTATGTTCATAGCAGCACAATCTACAATAGCCAGAATCTGGAAACAGCCGAGGTGCCCGTCAGCTAATGATTGGATCCAAAAACTTTGGTACATCTACACAATGGAATACTATGCTGCCATAAAAAAGAAGGAATTCTCATCATTTGCAGCAACCTGGATGGAATTGGAGAACATCATGCTGAGTGAAATAAGCCAATCAATGAAAGAGAAACACCACATGACCCCACTCATTTGTGGATAATAAAGATCATTATAAACTGATGAACCAAAAGATAGATATAGAGACAGTAAAGCAACAAGCAGATTGTCAAATTACAACGGGGAGGGGAGGAGGGTCTGGGGGAGACAATAAATCAACCCAAGGACTTGTATACCTGCATATAAGTACAACCAATGGACATAAAACTCTGGGGAGGGAGGGGATACATGGGAGGGAAGGAGGGGGGCAAAAAAAAATCAATAAAATATGTAAAATAAATTAATTAATTAAAAAAAAAAAAAAAAAAAAAAGAAAAAAAAAAAAAAAAAATAAATAAATAAATGTGTCATCTTGATATGTTAAAAAAAAAAACAAAAAAAAAAAAAAAAAAAAAAAAAAAAAAAAAAAAAAAAAAAAAAAAAGCCCCATGGACCAGGCTACACCCCCAACCAATTAAATCAGAAGTTCTGTGGGTGGGACCCAGGCCTTAGCTTTTTTAAAAAATATATATATATTTTATTGATTTTTTTCAGAGAGGAAGGGAGAGAGATACAGAGCTAGAAACATCGATGAGAGAAAAATACCGACCAGCTGCCTCCTGCACACCCCCTACTGGGGATGTGCCTGCAACCAAGGTACATGCCCTTGACAGGAATCAAACCTGGGACCTTTCAGTCTGCAAACTGACGCTCTATCCACTGAGCCAGACCGGTTTCGGCAAGGCCTTAGCTTTTGTAAAAACAGACTTGGCAATTCTGGCATGCAGCCAGCATTGAGAAACACTGTCCTGGGGGCTTTCAGAAGATAGAACCTTAAAGGTTTATTTCAATCAGCAATGGAGTAAAAGCAATCAACGGACTGACATGTATAGAGTGCCTGCTACAGTGGTTCTCAAACAAACGTAGGCTCACATCTGAGTCACCGGGGTTTCTGAAGTCAGGCCTGGAGCTTGAGTCTTAGAGTTTTTAAAGTTACCAGGAGATTCTTAGGGAAACTATTCCAGAAACTGGAGTCTCCCTGCCTGTCCTGGGCTCACTCCTCCAGGGGCAGGAGGTGGTACTTTTCTGAAGTGAAACTGGGAGGAAGCTCTGAGCATGCAGAGCTTTGCCTTGTCCCATCTGCCCTTCAGGAGCCAGTTTTGCACCAGCAAAGATGCATTCAGACCATTTCTGCCAGGAGGTAAGGAGCCTGCCTGCTGAGCCACCCCAGGGCCCCAGGCCTCACCTTGATCTCCATCTACCTCCTGCTTTACCTTTTTTCAATTGGTTCCAAAGTTGGGTTCCTCCTTATCCTGATGCCCATAAGATCTTCCTGCGTTTTGTCTCCTTTGGGACATTGCAGCTGCTTCCTTCTGGTACCTGTTTGGTGGACCCAACTATCTTCCACACCAGATCCAGGGCCTCAAGGACAAGGTTGCCTTTGTTGCTGCAGCACCATTTTGTAGATAGGGAATTTGAGATCCAGAGAAGTGTCTTGCCCAAGGTCACACAGCTAGTAAGTGACAGTGCAGAAATTCTAATCTAGTCTGCCTGACTCAAAGTGAACTTTCTGTGAACAATGTCAGGTTTACTAACCAGGTCCAGGGAAGGAGAGGGTGGTAGCCCTAAAATAGGCCCTCAGTGCTCAGATAGCATATTAGTTCCTTAGGCTAAGAACACACCAAAGGGTCCCAAGGCCAGATCTAATCGCAATTCCACTCTGGCTTGCTGACTGCTTTGGACATATCTCTAATGTCCCCAGGCTTCAGTTTTTCCTCATCTTCGAACTAGGAAAGTAAACACTGCTGTTTGACCCTGCATCTAAGAAGATGCAAAATGTGAACCTTTGGGTGTGGAAACCACAGCATCCTATTTAATAAAAGGGAATATGCTAATTGACCATCCCTGTCAAAAAGATGGCTGCACCCACAGCTGAGGCCAAGTTCCCATAAGGAGCTTTAATAAGCAATCAGCAGGGACCTGAGGCTAGGCCCTCCCCCAACCCTGTGGGACTTGACAGGGGGCCTCAGGCTGCACCCCCCACCCGCCGGGCTTGATGGGGGACCTCAAAGTGCACTTCCTATCTTGGTGCTGGGCTAGGGGACCTCAGGCCACTCCCCCTGCCCTAATGCCAGGGTGGGGGACCTCAGCCCGCATCCCCCACTAGGTGGGGCTTGACAGGGGACTTCAGGCTGCAACCCCCATCCCGTTACCAGGCTGGGAGACATCAGATGGCACCCCCCACTCAGCAGGGCTTGACAGGGAGCTCAGGCCACTCCTCCTTGCCCCAGCACCAGGCCAGGGGACCTGAGGTTGCAACCCCCTGCCTGGCTGGGCTTGACAGGGAACCTCAGGCTGTGCTCCCCACCCAGTGGGGCTTGACAGGGGATTTCAGGCCATGTCCCCCACCTAGCAAGGCTTAACAGAGGACCTCAAAGCACTCCCCCTACCCCGGTCTGGGTTGGGGAACCTCAGGCCACACCTCCCATCCTGATACCAGGCCAGGGGACCTGAGGGTATGCCCCTGCCTGGCAGGGCTTGACAAAGGTGGACTGGCCAGATCTGGATCTAGCCCAATGGGGGAGAGGGGATGGACGGGTCTGGGTCTCATGTGATTTTGAGGTGCATGTGGGTGGGCAGGGACTTGACTCTGGTCCCATGGTGAGCCCCAGACTCTGATAAGAGGAAGGATTTCATATACATTTTAATAATTTTCTTTCATCTCTTGTTGGGAGCTGCCCTGAAAACAGGGGACTTTTTCCTCAGAGCTGCCCTGAAAGCAGGGGTCTCTTGATGGACACAGCTGTGGTAGGACAAAAGTCATAGCTCTGATAAGAACGTGCTGTTCAGCTTGTTTTGCAGCTTGTTAATGTAAAAATACTACTGACCTTTGTAAAGAATAACATATACTGTTTAACCTGCTGCTTGCGTATAGATTAGGAAACAATTCTCTGCTTACGTGCATAAACAAAGATCTGGTGATGGGTAAATACTTAGCCTAAAGGTCAGCAGATGTTTATCTGCTGACCTGTATCTTGTACCTCCCTGCTTTTGCTGTATAAAAACGAGCTAAGAAATAAACTCGGGACTGCAGACTTCAGTCAGTCCTCTCGACCCAATCTTTTCTTGTCTTTCTTTTTTCTCATCCTAACCCCCTCAATCAGGTACTGTTTGTTGTTAGCAGGTTCCGGCAATCTCTGACATTTCTACTATAAAGGGCAAATAGCAATATTAAATTATTTTCTCTAATTAATCCCCTTTTAATGTGCACGAATCTCATGCACCAGGTCACTAGTGTGATTATAAATGCCAGGTGTATTGAGCAGAAGCAGAATCCATTGTCCTGGGCATGTCACTTCCTGCCTCTGGTCCTTGATTCCCTATTCTGAGCTATGGCATCAATGATGTTAATCTAACAGGGCTATTGTGAGGTCTGTGCTTGGCTGTGGACTGATGTGAGTCATGTCTACTTCTGCCTATGGCCCAAATTGTAGCCAAGTTGGAAAATCTCCCTAGAGATGTCATTTCAGGCCACCAGAATTTGTCACCTGCCCAGCTTGTGGGCCTCAGCTGCAATCCAGGGAGGCCTCTGGTATGGCAAGAGAGTTGCTCAGGAAGGTGGTAAGGCTGGCATCAGGGAAGGAAGCAGTACCATACACACCTCTGCCCCTGCCCCTCCCTGCTCTCAGCATGCCTGATCTGTAGTGAGGATACTGATGGTCAGGAACAGTGGCAGAGCAGTCACACTTCTGCCTGCAATACTTGCAGCCTAAGCTCCAAACATCACATGCTACTCCTCAGAAGACAGGATACTCATAACCAGCCAAGAACTCCAAAGTCAGCAGAGAGTGCAGGTCCTCTGACTCCTGACCACCAGGCTCTGGTCTCACAGTGGTGAAGAGAGTCCCACCAGGGGCATCAAAAGGTTGATTTCTGCTCTAACCTGTTTGACTCAATGGATAGAGCATCGGCCTTCGGACTGAAAGGTCCCAGGTTCAATTCTGGTCAAGGGCATTTACCTTGGTTGTGGGCACATCCCCAGTGGGGGGGGGGGGGTGCAGGAGGCAGCTAATAGATGTTTCTCTCTCACTGATGTTTCTAACTCTCTATCTTTCTTCCTTCCTCTCTGTAAAAAATTAATAAAATACTTGATTTCTTTTCTGCCTGACTGTACCACCTGAGGTGAGTCCTTCCCCATTGTTAAGTGGGGATGCTTCTCAGTCTCCTCCAAGGGCTATTGGGAGGGCCTGGAAGGTGGTGAGGTGGGTAACTAAGAGCTAATGGATGAAGGAAGCTTCTAATCCCAGAAGGAAAGGCTGGTATGGTTCCCCAGCCTGGGTCTCATTATCAAGGGAGAGGGAGAAAGGAGGATAGGGATTGGGAGGAAAAATAGCATCTGCTGAGCCCAATCCCACCCACCTGCCATGAGAATGAGCTCAAAATTTTGGTGCTCCTTCCATCCCCACAGCTCCACCTCCTCTCTCCCTCCCCAGCCTTAGCAAAGGCCCCAAGCTCACACTCTATGGCTTTCCCCATCTGCAGCCTGCAGAGCTGAGCAAAGCCATTGTGGATGAGGGTGGGAGACAACACACAAGCTGATGAGGGGCTACTGAAATGACTCCTTCAGGTCTCAGAGACTTGGGACTGGAAGCCCCAAGCCCCAAGCCCCATCTCATTTGGGTTATTGAGACCCAAAGAAGGGAAGGAATGTGCCCAAGGGCAAGCAGCTCAGATATCCCACCCAGCTCACATCCCCCCACTACAGGCCCCCAGTGGCCCCCTTTCCCCTGGAGACCTCACCTTCCAGAGTCCACAGGTGGTACTTCACCAGCTCCACCACCTCCTGCCTGTCCTCTGAGAGCACAATCCCAAAGCCAGCCAGCAGGTAGGAGATGTCCGTGGTGATCCCCGCCCTCACTTTCTGGATGGTAGGTACCACACCCACCAGCAGCAGCAAGGCCACCTGGAAGAACCCCAGAATGAGAGCACCAGGGTCTAGCTGTGCCAAGGCAGGCACTCCCATTCCAGGAAAAGTGTTTTCTGAGTCACAGGGCAGACTCTAGGGAGCACACTGGCTGCATCGTTCCTGGCACCCATCCACTGATCTGTTCCCAAGAGCAGTGTCCTCATGCCTGTGGTCAGCATGTTACAAAAAAAAAAATCCAAGTTTAACTAATAGACCAGAGGTGCAGGACAACTGTTCATCTACGACTGTTTGTCAATCTATATCAGTCATCTATCTTAAATTTCAGAATATAAAATTTCCAACTTTTCTACATTGGAGAAAGCAAAGTGTCTTATATATGAGCAGAGTCATTGAAGCTAGACAGATTTGGATTCAGACACTGGCTGCCCTGAGATATTAGCTGTAGGAACTTGGCCAAGTCAAATTCACCTCTCTGAGCCTCTATTTCTCCCCTCTGTTAAAATGGAGAAAAACCATACCTACCTTCTGAGATTTTGGTTGATTCGTTGGTTGGTTTGTAAGAGTTGGTGGTGATAGTAGTGGGGATTTATCAAACACTTGTTATTTCACTAAATCTTCCCAAATTCCCAAAGATGAAGGTAATTTCTTCCACTTTTAGCTGAGCCAATGGGTTTAAGGAGGTTGACTAACTTATGGAAGTCACACAGGAGGTAAATAATGAAGCTAGGATGTAAACCTTTGTTCATATGACTCCAAAACTCATGCTCTAACTGTGTGAGTCCAACAAGAGTTAACATCTCCTCCCTCTGGGTAGGCCAGAACTCTCAAGACATAAGAAACAGCTGGACAGGGTTGTGGGTCATGCTTTTGGAAAGCTGAGCTGGGCCTGAGCCACCTGGACTTGGGAGTACAGAGGCAAATGGCACATACCTGGTAAGTGGCCGTCCCTGTCAGGGTGGCTGAAAGCACAAGCATCACTGGGAGTCGGAATCCTGCAATTCCCAAAAAGAAGGGCATGATGAGCCTAGCACCACCCAGGCCCAGGAGCTCCCACACCTCCCTGGGGGCCCAGGAAAAGGGCCAGAACTTATAGGACCCTGAGTTCACCAAGGCCAAGTCAGGCCAGGGGCTCAGGGCTGTTCTTTCCGATGACAAAGTGCTGGGGGTGACAGGAGCTGACCTGCCACTGCAGCTGCTTTGTGCATGGGAAGGGGGAGGTCACCTGTCACTCTGGACCCAGCTCCCCACTCCATACCTCGCTGTGGAATGTAGATGTAGTGTCTGAAGCAGATCCAGGCCTGGGACAGGAAGCCATGTTTGGATGTGTGGGAGCTGCAGAAAGACCCATGAAGTAGAAGAAACTCAAGTGTTGGGAGCCATCAGAGTTGATACAAGCAACTCTGTCTTAGAAAATACAACTCCATCTTGGAATTACGTTCCTAGTTCCTCCTAGCAGAAATCATGTGGCGCCCTGCGGTTTGGCCAGAAGCTAAAGATAACCTATCGCTTAAGGACACATACTGCTCTGGAAGATCCCTACAATGTCCCCTCCCTGATCCTCTCTCCCATAGTTTGCCCCGCCTTGGAATGTCCCTGCGGCAACTTCCCCCTACAACCTGTGTACATATATTGATTGCGGCTGCAACAAATAAAATTTGAGGCTTGTCAGAACCCTGTCTTGCCTCCATTTCTCCGCGTCTCCTGTCCTCCCTCATTCCCTTCCAGGTGTCTCCTCGCTCCCACGTTGCTGTCCCGCTGGCCGGAGCACTCAAGAGAAGCCCCTGCCCTGAGACCCAGAGTTTTGTCAATTCATCTCTGCCCTACAAGCCTGCCCATTGCCAGCCTCCCAAACAAGCCTGCCTAGCTAGCCCTGCCAACTGGCCCAGAGGGTATGCCTAGGGCCTCACCTGCTTTTCAGCTTCTTCAGGCAAAGGAGGGTCCTCAGGTATTCCTCAGGGTAGCTACTGTGCAGCCTCTGGGGGAACAGAGAGATGAGACCTGCCTTGAGCCATCCCTGGGGCCCTGGCTTAAGGTACCACAGTGGGCACCCAGTAGGTGCTCCATAAAAACCTCTTGGTTGTGGTGGAGTGCAGAGAAGGGCCATCCTATGGGTTGAGGCCCATATCCCCCAACACTGCCCTTTCCTCACCCATAAATACAAGATTGATTGGTCTCCTATCTAAGAACACTCAATGCTAGGAAGTTCTTCCTAAGGTCTAGCTTCAACCCTCTCCTGCTTTACACAATCACATCTTATCATTGTTTCCCTCTTGGCCCTCACACATCATCTAACTGAGACTGGGACAAAGAGACTATGCTCCATGGGCACATCTCTAATCAGGACGCAGGACGGGGCCGTTCCAGGTCAGATGCCCAGGGCTCTCCTACTTGAGGGAGAACACAAGGGTAATTGGATTTGTCTGAGCCACATTCCAGGCCATAAGCTGACTTCCAAGTGGCAAAGACCAATGGGAACAGGGAGTGAGTCCTTGCCCCCATTATTAGGAGAATATAGGCCATTGTCACCTGTTGCCATAGCAACTCTGGGATCCAGGGCAGGTATGAGTCAGTTCAAAGCTTGGCTGTGTCCTTTGAGGCTTAAACCTCTATGACTAAGGGCCAAAAGAGGATTTTATTTCTCCCAAGACTTCTCAAGAGAAAATACATGCAATAGGGGGAAATGCAAGGCAGAGAAGGTGCCTGGAAGAGGAGGGGGACAGATTCAGAAAGGCAGGGCCATGCCTGGTGCATGTGTTTCCTGGAGAGCCAGCTGTAAAAATGAGGGGATGACAGGCTTCCCTAGATGATAAGGAGGAAATAGTGACAAATATTCAGAACTCTGCTGTTGCTATGAAAGCTAAACCCAGTCAGGTGAGCTCATGGGGACCCAGGGTGGCCCCTGTAGAACTTGAGCCTACTCTGGCCTCTTCTCCCCTCATCCTCCATCCCTCCTCAAGGACCTCACTCCTTCTTGAGCTCCAGTCCCAGGTCCTCTCCTGAACTCCAGGCCATTGTTCAGTTGCTCATCAGAACCTCAAAATGCAAACTGACACACTCTGCATGGTCCCCTGCACTCCTGCTCTCATCCAGTGCTCCATATGTCAGCAACTGGCACCACCATTTTTCTTCTGTGTCCTGGATGCCATCCTTCAAGCCTTTCCCCAGCTGGAAAGTAACCAGTCTTTTTCCTCTATATCCTCAGGTTTTCTCAAGTGCCTCTGTGAGCAATTTCCTCTTCCTTCTCTCTCAACAGGAAGAGTACCTGACCCCATCTCCATCTGCACTCCCATGCACTTGGATGAGCCCCAGTTGTTCCTTTCACCTTGCTGTAAACATGTGCTGCTCACTGGGAGTTCCGGGGTTAGATGCGGTCAGTCAGCTCCTTGTCCACAGCACCCAGCCCCAGGCCTGGCACTTGGTAGTTGCTCAGAAGTCTTCTTAATAAGATTGTCATATCTCTTGACACAATGTGCCCATCCATCCACCCCAAACTTCAGAAATATTTGCTGAGTGTCTATTGTGTACTAAGACTTGCTGAGTGCTGCCAATCAGGCATGAACAAAACAGATAAAACCCATCTCTGAGACCTGATGCACGCTGAGTCCTCCACCAAGTATCACCACATATAGGGGACCAACAGACAGGGGGAGCCCAACCCAGTTCCTTTACCTCTGAGCCAAATCCTGTCCTATGGCTGAAGCTTCTCACTAGCTGCACCGGGTACCAAAGGCTCAGGAATCCAAGGCCCAAAAGGAGAGGCATGGAAGCCAGCAGGGAGTAGTACTTGTAGATCTGTATGGACAGACAGACACCAGACACACCTACCTTCTGCCTTCCTGCCCAACTGAAGGCCAGGGTCCATTTCCCTCCCAACCTCACCCAGGACTCTGTGGGTGGTCTGGGTGCCATGGAAAGGCTTTGGTTCTACCACCATCAGCCACCCCAACGAGAGCACTCAGCACAGTCAATCCCACTTCACCTTCTCAGGCCCTGCAAGATGCCTGCCCCTCCCCCAGGCTCTTGGACTCCCAAGGCCCTTAGAGGAGCCAAAAGGAGGAGATTATATAATCCCCTCTCCCCCACCTAGGGAGCTGCAATGGGCCCTGAAACAGGTACCCACTTTCTGTGTTCCTATGTTCCTGAGGTACCACAGTGGGCACCCAGTAGGTGCTCCATAAAAACCTCTTGGTTGTGGTGGAGTGCAGAGAAGGGCCATCCTATGGGTTGAGGCCCATATCTCCCAACACTGCCCTTTCCTCACCCATAAATAAAAGATTGATTGGTCTCCTATCTAAGAACACTCAATGCTAGGAAGTTCTTCCTAAGGTCTAGCTTCAACCCTCTCCTTGTTTAATTTACATCTCCACCCTTTTGGCTCTAGACTGGGCAGCTTCACATCCCTAGCCAATGGCCAGTGAACCACATAAGGTTTTGGAATTCTCTAAAACCATCCCCTACTCAGTGCTTGCCACCCTCCATCTGTCTTCATTTCCCCTCCAGCCTGGTCAACAGAAGGCTAGAGGATCAACAAAGGGGGGATTTCAGGCTCCCTTTTCCATCTCTTCTATTCCCATCTCCTCTCTACTGCCTCCAAGAAGCCCCAGATGGCTGTCCAGCTACCTTGTCCCATAAAGGGGCTGTGTGCAATGACATGTGTTTTAAGAAGTGGAATCCTGTGTACAGTAGAAGGTGGCAGGAAAGCCCAGCATATAAATAGAGATGAAAGGACCCATGCTGGTATAAGCAGCTCCTTCATGTCCTCTGCCCCAGGCCCTCATGAATCAGTGGTTACCTTGGGTGCCTGGGGACACTCTGCCTTCAGCCAGATCTGGACTCCAAAGTGAGCCCAGGACAACACACTGCCGAGCAGGTATGCAGCTACATGCCTGACTGTGGCGCAGGCGGCCAAGGAGTAGTAGAAGGCAGGGTAATAGAGCAAAGCCAGCATCTTCCAGGGTCCTAGAAGGCAAGGAAGGCAGAAAGAAAATTATAAAGGGACAGGTGTGGACTGAATCCAGTCCACCCAGACCTCTCTCATGCCTCCATCTTCCAAGTCTCTCAAGTGGTTCAGTAGGTAAGAGCCTGATATTCAAATCCAGGCTATGACTAGTATCAGATCTGTGATCTTGAGTCAGTTACCTCTTGGAGCCTCAGTTTCCCCATCTGTAAAATAGAAGTAATAGGACTAAATTAGCAAAAATAAAATAAGAAGTTCTACATATAGTGCTCAGCAAGGTGTCAAAGTTAGTACTAAATATACAAGCTACTACTTTATTATTGTCTCCTTCTCTGACTCTCAGCATCCTTTACTATAGAGTGGGGCTAATGTCCACACTTTGTAGAGTCATTGGGAAAACTGGATGATCTAAAGATGTCATGTCCCATGCCTCTCCATGGCAGCTGTCCTTATTACCATCACCTTCTTGAGTTCAGCTCAATTCTCCTGAACCCCTTCCTATGTCACTCCCCACCCTCCTTCATTCTCACTGTGGGGTGGGGGAACCTGAGTCTTGGGGACTCAGCCTGTGCCCATGGAACAAGAGCGTTCCCTGCATCTTGGAGGTGGGGTTTGCACAAGAATAGAGGAACCAAATAGGGCAGTATTGACCCAATGGCTGGGACCAACAAAGGGAAGCTTCAGGTATTGTAGAGGGACAGTGCATGAAATAAGTATCTTTTTGGCAATGGCTCATGAATGTAATGGGGAGCAATTTGGTTCACTGTAGAAGAGCCCTGCTCTGATAGTCCGGATTCCCACCCCAACCCCATTCCATCAATCCAGGCCCACACCCTGGGTACCTTGAGTAGATGGTGAAGTCAGGATGAGGAAGGGCAGCGAGGACTCAGCCGAGAGCAGCAGACACAGGGAACTGAAGAGGACCATAAAGATAGCAGTGGGTACGGTCCAGGGCCCATCCATAGCCAGAAAATCCACAGGGCTAGTGCAGGGGCAGGGACAGGACAAGAGGGAATTGCTCAGGCCTAGTACCCCATTACTTCATGTCATGTTCCATAAACTGGGGCAATAGAGCCGGTCCCACTTTCCAGCCCACTTTCAAGATAGGGAATTGGAGGCCCTTCATCCATTCATTCTACAAACATTTGTGGAGTGCCTTCTATGTATCAAATTCTGGGCCTTATGGCAAAGTGACTTGGGAACATCCCCCCAACACAACAACAACAGTAATACTCACACACACACACACACACACACACACACACACACACACACGAACAAGCTTGCGCACAGCTCCCTCCACCCACCCTGGCAGCTCCAGGAAACAGCTGCCTCCACACTAATTGCTCTGTCTGGGCTGGCAGACTTTCAGAGAGTTCCAAGAGTCACAACATCCTTGCACAATGTTAACGCCCTGGCCTGAGTGTGACCCTTGGTTGGAGGGCAGACAGAGGACATAGCTGTCCTAAGCAACAGCACCCTGGCTCAGGTCAGGCCACAAAGACTCTCTGCTTCTATGGTCCATCTTTCCCTCATGCCCTGAGATCTCCATCCTGCTTCACCCTCCCCCAGTCAGGGCAGAAACCCAAGTTCCCCCAAAAAGTCAGCATGTAGGACCCACCTTGGTATGCAGCCCCAGCCTGAGGTGCAAGGTTGTCTACACTGGGAATCCATCCACCACCTCCCCCAACCCTTTGGTTTCTCCCACATAAGTCAGATTAGGCTCTTCTCAGGGTCATTTCCTACGGTTCATCACTGCCCCAGGCTCTGGGGTTGCAGGGCTGAAGAGTCAGTGGAAGAAAGTCTCTCAGAAATCTGCCGTTAGCATCAAGGTCCAGATGAAATCCCCTGGTGCAGAGTGATCATGGCCTGCCTAGACCATGAAATCGCCTGACAAAGTGTGTCCTGGAGCCGGGCCCTGTTGGGTTCTGGTTCCTTGGGGTTTGGAACAGGAGCAGGTGAACCTGAGGGAGTCCCTCCCCCGCCCTCTGGTCATTCCGACTAAACCTGAAGTTCTGGGTTGGGATGAGAAGTGCCCCAGGCTGAGAGAAGAGGGAATGTCCTGAGGCCAGAGCTGGCCTCCTGAGTGGGACTAAAAATCACACCCCAAGCTGGACCCCCTGAGTGGGACTGCCCAGGCCATGGCACCAACCTGGGCAGCCCAGACCTGCTGTGTCCACCATGGAGCCAGAGCTGTCGGCACCTCACCAGCATGGCCAGCAGCAGCAACACAACCACCTAAAGGAGAGCACAGTGGAGAGTGTAGGGTGCCCAGGCCTTCCCTGATGGGCTGAGTTGGGAGGCTTGGCTTCAATACCCAGGAAACTCCCCATTTCTCTCTGCATACTCATGTGGCCAAGAGGTTACAAAAGTCTGGAAGATTGGACTTGGCCTGCATTTTGGTTTGGGTTCCGACCCTGTGAGAACCCCCTCCCACATTTTGGACTCCTGGGTACTCCCTTTGTCAGCTCCAGCAGGAAACACAAATCATGTTGCCCAGGCTGGCAGCAGATTGAAAGCCAGTTTAGACTTAGGTTAGACTCACCGACAGCACGGCCAAGCAGGTATGGAGGAGGCCAGGCGGCACACTGGGGTGGCATGAGGGCACTACCCTGCAGATCAAGTGAAGGTTGGTCATGTCTGAGTAGGGACTCCCCACATAGGCCACCAGGTCTGGGGTTCCAGGTTGTCTACACTTGGTCTCCATTTCCCTCAACCCTTTGATCTCTCTTACACAAGCCTACCCAGTTCTGCCTTCTCGGGGTCATTCCAGGGCTCTCATGCTCCTGTAGTATGCCAGCCTTATGCCAAGCTCTGAGATTCCAGGGCTAAAAGAGATAGGGGACCTCCAGGGGAAGACTCGGAAGAAACAGATTGAGCCAGCTGGGCTGAACCTCTCTTCTTTCTCACCAGATCCTTCCTATTCTTCAAGGCCCACTTGATTCCCCTGCTCCTCCAGAAAGACTCCCCGATTGCTCCAGGCATCACAGACCTCTTCTCAGAACTGTGGCTGAGCATACTGCCTACTTCAAACAATCAAGTATTTGGTCCTATAATTTGCCCTCCATTGACTGGTATCTGAGTTTGGTCTATATCTGACTGGAATGATTTTCCTTAGTCTTTGGAACTTATGTCTCTTTCTGTTTCCCTTTCATTAAAGGCTTCCATGTACAGCTGAGCAGTTTGCATACTGCACAAGGATGCCCAGCCAAGGGAATGAGTGGGGTCTGAAATCCAGGCCGCACTGCTCACCAAGCACTGTGCCTAGTGAGTTGCATTCATCTCTGTTTCCGCAAAGGCTTCCTTGGCCTGGCAGAGGACCTACACTGGCATAGCTGAATACAGAGGTAGGTCCATGGTGGAGATAAAGAGATCAGTGGGCACAAGAAAGGCTTCTGCTTCCTCAACTGGATTATGGCAAAGAAAGGGTAGGATTCCTGAGCTCAGAGCTGAATCTGGACTTGGCAGAGCAGACAGGACTGGTCCCTGGGGAGGAGGAGACTCCTGAGTTTGCCCAGCTAGAGCCTGGGGGGACACCTGCGAGGGCAAGGCCAGCAAGGTGTTGCAGCTGGGCCCTCCCTGCCCTGTCAACCACATGGGCGCCCTCCTGTTCTGTGAGGAAGACTCCCCAGGTCTTGTCTGCAGGATGAGCTCAGAGCCCTATGACTCCTCTGGAACAGCCCAGTCTTCCCAGAGCTTGCTTTCTCTCAGAAAATCCCAGAGGGTGAGAAGCAGGAAAGAACCTGGTCACTGGGCTTGTCCTTGGGGTAGAGGGACAGAATAAGTCTGTTTTGTGCAACTTATTGGCCAGGGCAGAGCTGGCATCTTCCCAAAACAGAACTATACTCATAGGTAGGGCAGGTGCCATGTAGGGAATCAGGTTCCCCCTGTCTGAGTTCAGGCCTTACACTCCCCACTTCTAACTCTGAGGCCCCTTACTCCAGCATATGGGGTGGGGCTTTGGGTGAAAAAGGGCCTCTCTCAGCCCCAAGAGCTCATAGCCACCTTTGTAAGCCCTCTCAGTATGCATCTCTGCATCTGACTAGGTCCTGTTCAAACCTGTCCCCCTTACTCCACTTACCCAAACCTAAAGCTCCCACATGGATCCTCTCCAGGCCCTATCTTGGGGAACCCCTGGGCCTTTTGTATCTTCTGGGCCTCCCATCTACCTCTTAGCTCAGTTTGGCTTAGGCTCATGGACCCTCAAATGATTGAGGTCTGAGCAACAGAAATTTGGCCAATGGCACATGGGCTGGTTATATGCTCTGGGACAGACAGAATGGCACAGACACAAGGAACACCACCTCAGGGAGGGTGGGGAGCTTGATCCTGGAAGATACACAAGCAGATGCTAAAGGATGCAGAAGAGGGAGAGAACTTTGGGGCAGGTGTCAGAGGCAGTGATATTTGCTTTAAGTTTGAAAGATGGTTAGGACAGCGTTCAGGATTTTAGGAAACTTATTTTTGTGTGTTTTTTTTAATCCTTACCTGAGAATATGTTTTGTTGTTGTTGTTGTGTTTTTTGTTTTGGTTTGGTTTTTTTTATTGATTTTAGAGAGAGGATGGGAGAGAGAGAAAGAGAGAAATATGGATGTGAGAGAGAGACATTGATCAGTTGCCTCCCGTATGTGTCCTGACTGGAGATCGAACCCACAACCTAGGTATGTGTCCTGACTGGAAATCCAACTCACAATGCTTTGGTGTACAGATGATGCTCAAGCTACAAGAGCCACCCAGCCAGGACAATTTTAGGAAATTTCTGTTGCTAGACTTGAATATAAATAACAACAGTAGCTAGTACTTACTAAGCACTGACTAAGTGCCAGGCACTGTTTGTTCCATGCATTAACTCAGTTATTACCTAAGAGGTGTATGCTATTGGTATCCCTCTTGTGTAGACAAGAAGGCCAAATCTCAGATAGGCTAAGTATGTTGCTCAAATCACTCAGCTAGTCAAGTGGCAGAGTCAGGATTCAAACTGAGATAATCTGGCTCTGGCACCTGATCTGACTGGGAGGTGAGAAGTTAAGTTGAACCATCTGAAATTGCCATTTCTGTACATCAGAAACAGTCGAATATTAGCATTTGCAAATGGCTCCGCATGTATGGTTGCTGGGGAGTGGAAATGGCAAGCTATATCTCAGAGGTATTTACGAGGAAGAATGTTCCTGCTTTGATGTGGAGAAGCAGAGGGAAGGCAGGTTTCTGGAATGACTGTAGTGAGCACCTGAATCAAATGAGGCCCAAGGATCTGAGGCTTGGTCTTGGACACTGAAGGACAGAGGCCGACTGCAGTGTGGGGAGGACACAGAGACAGAACCAGACAACTGTTTCTAGAATTCAACTCTGAGTGGGAGCCTCCAGGGGCCCCACCCAGAGGGCGGGACAGAACACATCTCTGTAGGTGAGAGGGAAAGACTGACAGCCTGGAATGAGGTCTGGGGCTGTGAGGTCCCAAGAAACCTGAAGCCCTGCTTCCTGACTTCCCCCACTCACAGCAGAATGGCCTGCAGATGACCCTGGCACAGCCTCACCCCTCCTGTAGGCCTCTGATTCCGCCTTCCAGGCAGCCCTTTGAAGCTGTGGGGAGGTGAATGACATTCTTGGCAGCTGCCACAGGCATATTTGTGTTCCCAGGCTCTGAGCAGTATTGATGATGGGTGGATAGCAAACAGGCACATGTCAAGCTGGGCACATGACTGGCCAGAGGGACCTCTGTGGTGGAAAAGGCCAGCTCAGCTTATACGGATCAATCCCTTGCCCATGGGAGATTCAATGACACATCCCATCCCCATCAGACTCACCAACCCTGCCCTGACATCTTCAACCAGATCCTGGCACCATAGGGGTACAAGGTAAGTGTGAACAGGAGACTGAGTCCAGCCTGCTGGGGCTAAAGGAGTCACAGAGGGGAGCTATTGTCAGAACTCCTCAAAGCTTTGTGCTTCATCCCCCTGCGATGTCTGACTCACACAGGCTGGTAAAGTGAGCCCAAGTTCACCTCCTTGGGATTCCCCTGAGCTACCTGCTTCCTGATCCCACCTTAGAGGGGATGGTGGAGAGGAGGTAGGCAGCTTGACTTGGTTTGGCTAAATGAGTAAGTTCAAACAAATTTCATTCTTCCCTGCAGCGTGAGAAGTGAGCTCTGCATTTTAGATGCCACCCATATTAGAAGCAGTACTCTCCACTGCCCAGTCCCTGCCACACACCAACTTTGTTCTGGGGCCATACCTAAATACCCAGCCACAGATCTGGACCCAGGTGCATGGCCCCAGCCAAGGACCAGACCGGGAGGCACCTAAGGTTACAGTTTCACATTAGGGCCTTAACACAGGCCAGGGTCTGTGTCCTCTTGGGGCTCCTAGGCCTCTCCCCATTCTGCTGCTCCCCCCACTCCATACAAGTGCAGCAGGGTCAGCCAGAGAAGGAGAGGAGGGACACACCCTTGCTGACAGCAAGGTTGCTTTCCCTGTGGGCAGAGCTCAGAGTCCCACAAACAGCTCCTTCCTTCAGGCCTGGGTGGTTCTCCGCTCCTGCCAGGTGACCCAGGGCTGGCCAGGCCATGGCCCAGCCCCTGAGAAGGCTTAGGAACATTTCTCCTTCTCCAATTTCTTGTTGATGAAAAACAGATGTGCACATATCTGGCATGGCAACCCCCAGCCTCACCTTTCCAGTTCCCCCAACCCTCAGAGCAGGGAGGTGGGGGGTAGGGCCAGGGATAGAACAATGAGGGGACCACTGGGCTCTGGGGCCCTCATGTGGGGGCACAGGGAGGCCCAGCTCCCCCACCAGGACTAAATAAATGTAGAAATGGCCTGGGAAAAGGCAGCTGTGGCCTGCCTCCTCAGGGGACACTAGCTGCGCTGAGGCAGTCTCCCTCCCCTGGCTGACCCCAGCACTCCTGCTAAAAGGAATAGGATCTCCTCAACCTCACAGATTCTGAGGCCAAAGAAAGCAGGTCTGGTCTATCTCCTCATATTCCCCCTCCCCCCAACCTCCACCTTCTTCCTTGGTTCTCTGCCTCTCCCTTCCCCCAGCATGCCCAGACAATCTGACATTTGCTAATACCACACCCCAGGTGGTCATCACAGGAAGCCCTTTAAGGCAGGCCCACCTACGCTCAACCACTCACCCAGCACTCTCCATCCTGGTTACAGCCCTGTCACCTACTTTGAGGATGGGCCCAGGGATCAATGTGAAACACACCACACAGGTGCTTTTTAGGTGACTAGCCTGGGCAATTCCCCACCTCAAGTATTTTAACACATGGACGAGGGCTGTTGTTCCCATGCAACTGATGGTGAAACGCAAGCCCAGAGATGCTGCGCTTTGCCGTGGGTCACACAGCAGATGAATGGCAGAGCCCTTGCACAAGTCTTCCCTGTTCCCCACCAGTGTCTCTGCCTCTGTGCCATGCTGGCCAGAGCCAGGGGCTCCACTTACCCTTCAGGCCGCAGCTGCTGGCTGTCCTGGGTCTCATCGATGTACCAGCTGCCATAGGAATAGTCTTCTGTGGTCCCAGAGGAGGTCTGGTTCCCTGTTGCTCTGGACATTCTCTGGCTCTTCCTTCTCTTCTGACCCCCAGACAAGACAGGGAGGGGGGAGAGGGGGGGTGGAATCTACAAATGTGAATAGAGGCTTAGAAAAAATAAAAAGAAACCCAAACAAAGAAGTGTTTCTCTTTAATCCTCAAGGTTACTTTCTTGCTCTTAGCTCTCTGGGAATGTAGGCCTGGTGGCTGGCACAGGAGGAGGGAAAGGACTTCTCTTGTCCTTTCTTGTCACCACCCGCCCAGATTTGCCTGGTGCTGCAGAAGTAGATGCCCTGAGAGTAGTTGCCCTGGGGATACTTGAGCTCTTGTCTGTCTGTCTGCCTGACTGACCACCAGCAGGACTTTGTTCAAAGGACCATTTTCAAAGAAGTTGTGTCCAATCAAGACCCTCTCTTCCTTCCCCCTCCTCAAACCCACCCAGACCAACCCACAAACACACTCTCAAGGAAGGGCCAGGGAGGAAGGAGCTGCAGAGATGAAAGGATGGGCGGGCTGCTGGGCGGGCTGCTGGGCGGGCTCAGCCAGACTGCTGGAACCTCCCAGCTGGATTCCTGGCCCCGCCTGCTCTTGGAGATCCAGCCCAAAACCCCCCCCCCCCCCCCCCCCCCCCCCCCCCCCCCGTTTCAGGCTTTCTCTAGACCACCCCTTTGGACCTCTGTGGTGAGAACATACCACGGTCCTGACAAAGAAACCTGGGAGGGGGTGGTGCTGATCTCAACTGGCTCCCCGCCCAAGGGGTGTGGCCAGGAGGGATCTGTACAGGCTTCAAACACAAGTATTTGCTTTCATGCCTGCCCCAAAGCTCCCACACCTTTGCCTACCATACCTGCAGTCCTCCATGCTCACTCAAGTCCAGTATGGTCATCTGGCATTTTAGGAGCCCAGGGAGACAGGTGGGGCTGCAGGACGGAGGCAGGGAGAGAACCTGTGCGTTGCTTCGCCCTAGTTTCCATGAGGACGCAGCATGTGTCTCACTGGTAAAACTTTGTTTTCTAACTTGATTTCACAGGGAGATAGCTCATCTCCATAGGCAAGAATTAGTCCTTTCAACAGGAACCAGACCCACGTGAGGCAAGAACCTCATCTACCTCCTGCCCCTTCCAGGGTGCAAAGTGAGGGCCTGGGCAGGTGCTGGGGATACCTCTCCATCCTGTTTCCCCTAAGAAGCTGCCCCATCCCTGTCTGCTCCCTTCCCACTCCTTTTTCTAGCAGGGGATAAGAGTCGGGATGGGGGCAAGATGCAGAGACCAGTTAGTTCTCAGGCTTCTACCATTGAGTGGGGGCCCCTGAATCTTTGAGGGTCTGTGTCCTTCCAGTACCCCACCGGGGCCTGGCCCCTGGCCCTACCTAGCTTAGGCTTTGTTCACCAAGCTTTTTTAAAAAGACATTTATCTATTTAGTCTTTTAACATAAATTCATTGAACACCTACTAAGTGCCAGCACTGTTCTGGGCCCTGGGATGTAAGTGTTTATAGTTCAGAGGACACAGATGAGTAGATAATTGATCTCCCAAGTGTCTGAGGGTCATAAAGGGAAGGCAGACTGTCCCATGGGAAACTGAATTTGGTCCAAGGGGGAGTGAGTAGTCCTGAAGGAAGTAATCTCTGAGTGAAGCAGACAGTGGAGGGTTAGATGGAGGGTTAGGACTTGTATTCCAATAGAGAGAATAGCATCAGTGAAGGCTCAGAGGGGACAGGGCTTAATATCCTAAAGACTACCATCCAAATTCAGTAGGCAGACTCATAAGGCCTCCAGATGTGGGCCTGAGTGCTCTGTTAGCCTTGATTCCTTCCTCTTCTTCCTAAATGATTCCTCTTCCAGGATGAAGGTTTTGACCATCCCTCCTCAGCCCATAGAGATGTCAGCATCTGCTGATTCAGAGCTAACCTTGAACTTTATTTGATGCAGTGCCCCCAAAGGGACTTCCTATGGTATCAGCCCCCTTCCCAGGGATAGCCCAGTGCCCAGGATATGCCCTCCCTCTTCAGTGGAGCAATGCAGAGGTCACCTCAGGGCTGGACTGGGAAAAGGAAGGAATATTATAGATCCAGGAGGCAAGAGTAGCATTTCTATGTCAGTGGGAAATGCCCTACCTGGGTTTGGGGCCTGGTCTCGACCTGCGACCCTCAGTGAGTCCCTTCGCCTCTCTGGGCTTTAGGCTGTCTCCGTTCCAGGAGGGGTGAGCCACCTCCCTTGGAGACACTTTGGTGGTGTGCTCTCCCCTCCCTATCTTTAATGACATTATGACCCAAGAATGTGGAGCCAGCACACTAGTCACTGGTTGTAGCAAGAGGTCAAAGAGAACAGCTGTGACTGCCCAGGCATCCCCCATTGCCTTATACCCACACTCCTGACCCCCAGATTCCCATTCAATCTGGTGGGGGCAGGGAGGCAGGCCTTTGTAGATATATTGGGGCTACTTTATCTATTCTTAACCACACCCAACTAAGTTGCCATCTCCCTTTGAGTAAAGTTTCAGGGATACATAATCAGCCAATGACTTTTTATTTTTCTAATTTGTTGTTGACAGTATTACAGATGTCTACCAATTTCTCCTCCTTTGCCCCACTCCACCCAGCCCCTGCCTCACCTCAGGCCTTCTCCACACTATTGCCTATGTCCATGGGCTATGTCTATATGCATATATTTTCTTTGGTTCATCTCTTCCCATCCCCTCCATTCCCATCCACTCTGAGATCTGTCATTTTGTTCTATGCATCCATGTCTCGGGACATATTCTGCTTGCTACTATATTTTATTCATTAGATTCCACATCTAAATGAGACCATGTGATATTTGTCTTTCTCTAACTGCCTTATTTCACTTAGAAGGATACTCTCCAAGTCCATCCATGCTGTCTTAAAACGTAAGAGCTCTTTCTTTTTTACATTTGCATAGTATTCTATTGTGTAAATGTATATCTTTTTTTATCCTAATAGGCACTTGAGCTGTTTACAGAACTTAACTATTATAAATATATATATATATATTTATTGATTTTGTACAGAGAGGAAGGAAGAGAGAGAGTTAGAAACATCGATGAGAGAGTCATCGATCAGCTGCCTCTTGCACACCTCCTACTGGGGATATGCCCGCAACCAAGGCACATGCCCTTGACGGGAATCAAACCCAGGACCCTTCAGTCCCCAAGCCGACGCTCCATCCATTGAGCCAAACCAGCCTCGGCAGAACTTAACTATTATAAATAATGCTGCTATAAACATAGTAGTGCAAATATTTTTTATTGGTGTTTCAAATTCTTAGGATATATTTCTATAAGTTGGATTTCTGGGTCAAAAGGTAGTTCTATTTTTAATTTTTTGAGGAAACTCCATACTTTTTACAAATGTGACTGCAACAGTCTGCATTCCCACCAACAGTGCACCAGGGTTTCCTTTATCCCACATCCTTGCCAGCATTTGCTGTTTGTTTATTTATGGGAAATAGCCCTTCCGGCAGGTTTGAGGTGATACCTCGTTGTGATTTTAATTTGCTCTCTCTTATGATTAGTGACATTGAGCATATTTTCATGTCTATTGGGCACCTGCATGTCCTCTTTGGAGAAGTGTCTATTCAGGTCCTTTGCCCATTTTAAAATTGGATTGTTTGTCTTCCAGCTGTTGACTTGTATGAGAATACTTTGTATATTTTGGTAATTAGCTCCTCACCAGATGTAGAATTGGTGAATATGTTCTTCCATAAATGGGTTCCTTTTATTTTATTTTATTTTTGTGGTGGTTTCTTTTGCTATGCCACAGTTTTTAGTTTGATAGAGTCCCATTTCTGTGTGTGTGTGTGTGTGTGTGTGTTTCTTTGTTTCTCTTGCCCTAGGATATGTATTCGTAAAAATATTGCTATGTGAGATGTCTGAGATTTTCTTCTACAATTTTTATGGTTTTGTGACTTACATTTAAACCTTCTATCCATTTTAAATTTATTCTTGTGTATGGTGTAAGTTGGTGGTCTGATTTCCTTTTTTTTTTTTTTTTTTTTTTTTTGCATGTACCTGTACAATTTTTCTAACACCACATATTGACTAGAATATATTTCCTCCATTGTATTCTTGTTTCCTTTGTGAAAATGAAAAGCTTTTTTCACAGCTTTTTTCATCAACAAAATAAGAAAGCCCACTGAATGGGAGAACCTATTTGCAAATGTTATCATTAATAAAGGTTTAATCTCTAACATCAATAGTCAGCTTATACAACTTAATAAAAGAAAAATAAATGACCCAATAAAAAAATGGGCCATGGACCTAAATAGAATCTTTTTGAAAGTAGACAGAAGAAAAGCCAAGAGACACATGAAAACATGCTCAAAATCACTAATTATCTGAGAGATGCAAATCAAAATGATGATGCAGTACCATCTCACATCTATCAGAATGGCTATTATCAACAAATCAACAAAGGACGAGTGTTGGCGAGGAAGTGGAGAAAAATGAAAACTCATGCATTGCTCATGATATGCAGACTGGTGCAGCCACTGTGGATATATTTATGTAGTATGTAGTTTCCTCAAAAAACTAACAATGGAACTTCCATTTGATCCAGTAATCTCATTCTTAGGAATATATCTTAAGAAACTAGAAACACCAATCAGGAAGGTTATATGCATTCCTATATTCATAGCAGCACAATATACAATAGCTAAGATTTGGAAACAGCCTAGGTGCCCGTCTTCAGATGACTAGATCAGAAAACTATGGTACATCTACACAATGGAATACTATGCTGCCATAAAAAAGGAATTCTTACCATGTGCAGCAATCTGGATGGAATTGGAGAACATCATGCTGAGTGAAATACGCCAGTCAATGAAAGAGAAACACCACATGACCTCACTCATTTATGGATAATAAAGAACATTATAAACTGATGAAAAAAATGATAGATACAGAGGCAGTAAAGCATCAAACAGACTGTCAAATTACAGCAGGAAGGTTAAGGAGAGGTGAGGGAGATAAGAGATCAACTAAAGAAATTGTATGCATGCATATAA